ACTTGCCGAGATGCATGGGCTGAGTCTCGCGTCTACACGTATGGAACACCAAGCAGTGACGTGACAGGAAGGGACCGAATAATCTCGGTCCCTCATAGAACAGAGGAGGAAATGCAGGCCTCGAGTGGGCCGAGGTGTGACTTGGGCCCCATGTTGGAGATGATGCCCAGGTCCTTTACTTCCCACTGGCCCAGCTTCCCCAGGAGCCAACAAGTAGTTAACCAAGGCTGGAGAGCTTTTCGAGGTGGGCGGCTACCCCTCTTTCCTATGGGGAAAAGCTCACGCTAGATTCCAATAGACACAGGCAAAGGCCAGGGAGAGGTCAGGGCAGGAGATGGGGAATGCGGGATGGTAGCAGGAGAGAAAGAGCGAGCAACAGATGGGGTTCCTGGGCCAACGGCTATTTCCAAATACTCCCTTGGGAAGGGCTACCCCTCAAATTTCCTATCAGGGATTAACTGACGATCAGTTCTGAAGAGGGCTCAGAATGGGCCCCGAAGAGAGGGAGAAAGGAGGGGGGACAGGCAACTTGCTTTACCGGGGCTCTAGGTCTATCCTACCCCCTTATACAGGTGCCCAATCACGGCCTGCTGGGCCCATAAAGCAGCTCGGGTGCCCTCTGCCTTCTAAATAGCCACGTTTTCACCCTAGTTTCAAACCGCCTCCACTGCCCTCCCCTCTTCAAACGTCTCAGCTTCCCAGTGTTCTGTATTCTGTTTAAGTTCCTAACTCTCCGGCACTTCAACCCACTGCGGTGTGACTTGGCTCCACCCACACATCCAAGGTCACAGCAGTGGACACTGCTCAGCTCTCCCATGCCTGTGACACCAGGCATGACCGGCTGCTGACAAACCTTAGAATTCTTTCCTTCCTCCCCATTCCACTTGCTCCCCAGGATTTTCCCTCACCCCTTTGCAAGTTCCTCCTGCCTCCTTCTCATTGGATCCTCTTCTCTAGGGTTCTGTCATCAGCCCTTGGCTCCTCACGCTGCTGCCTCTCATCCCTCATCTGAACACTGACAATCGCCAATGAATCTCCGACCCCATCTCCTCCCTTAAGCTCCAGATTGATTTTCTAGCTGGTGCTGGACATTTCTACTTGAAGGCCCCACAGAAGACTCAGACCTGAGCCTGAGTCTCATCGTTTTCTCCTTCGCTGGTGTTGCCCTTCATGGTTAGATGCACCAACATCCACCCAGACTCGTGG